ACGTTTGCTGGTTAAGACAAGCTAGGAGTGTCAACCAACTAGCCACAACAGTTTGTGCATTTTTTTTTTGTTTTGCAACTTTTTCTGGCGTTCGTGATGTTCCAGTGAGGTGGTGTGTCAAGTTGTATTCCCAGATATTTTGCTGAATCATTTTGCGGCTTTTACTAACACTTGAATTAGAATCCAACTTCTCATTTTTCTTCGTATTGTATTCGATATTTTTATTAGGATCATTAATAATACTCACTTGGAAATGTAATAATTCACTCTGTAGTTGTGCATTGCTCACTTGTAATTAGGTCACAAGCTTAGTTAAGTTTTTCGTTGTCTTGTTGTATTTGTAGTATAATTGCATGAACAACTAAAACATGACCCGTCACAGACATCCCGAAAAACGATCCAAGCCCCCACACGCGTGTGTCAAAGGCGATGACATATTCATAGTTAGTGTATTACTAAACGAACGGGTATATTCAAAATTCGAGAGCGGAACATACATGTTGCTAGTTCAATAAACAAAACGCGACTATACAAATGACATGAACACATTTTTTCTTGTAATGTATATTCTTTATATTATTGGATAGCATACAATTTTAATTTTATATAAATAAAATAAAATACAAATACAAATTAACAAGAATATCCAGACTGTATTATTTATTCTAAACATCTATACAAAGATTTAAAACCCTGTTAAATTCTATAAGCTAAATTTCAATTATTTAATCGTAATATATACAACTATACATTAAACATAGAAAAAAACTGTTGAAAAAATTAATATTTAACGATTAGAATATGTTATTTTAGATATGAAGCATAGCGAGGGTATCTATTGGTTTTTCCATGATTTGGTTTTTTTATATTTTGTGGGTATGTTCAATTTTTCTACCAGAACACTTGCTCTGAAATATCGAGTAGAACTTTTTCTGAAAAATAAAGTTTTGTAGTTGCTACATTTGGACGGTCATATTTTAAATTTCTAAATGATTTTCAAAATATATGGGAAAAATCAGAAAAAAAATTATGGGTAAAAAGGCAAATATTTACGTCATGTCATGGAGCCATCGTTTTCGTTTTTTTTTTTGATTTCTGTTCACTAGGTTTTATACCAGAAATATTGCCCCAACTAAAAAGTTGGTAGCCACTAACAGAAAAATTCGTTTTTTGATATCCAAAGTAGTTTTCATAGTAATTGGGTAAAAAAATAAAAAACAAGGGATACGATTTTTTTTTTCAAATTATGACCTAAAAATTGTATTATTTAAAAGTACAGGAAAATTCATAATAATACTTATTTTGTTATTTGAAATTTTTTTTTTATAATGTTATTCTGTTAAAAATATTTGCAGAGACTCCAAATATTGACAGAAATCTTATGTTTATTTTTTCTAGATGTCTTCAAATTATCAAAATATTTTAGCTCTTTTTGAGCAATCTTTGTAGATTTAGACGTTATAATTTTTACCGGTTTCTTACGTAATTTT